AAACCCTTTGCACTCGAGGCCTTTTTTACTGAACTTGTCGTTCAAACTAATTTGAGATTCGAAAGTCAGGTCACCTTTACCTCATCGGACAATCATTTTATTGATGCTTCGAGTTCCAAAGAAATTAAACTTAAATAATTATCATTATTGATTTACTGCATTCAACTTTTTGGTGACTAACCTCTTAATCATTTAAGAGTAATCATTTTATTGATGCTTCGAGTTCCAAAGAAATTAAACTTAAATAATTATCATTGTTGCTTTACTGCATTCAACTTTTTGGTGACTAACTTCTCGAGTACAAAGGGTTAATAAGTGAGTATATCGTATATAATATAGTGAAGAAAATCTTACATTTTCCAATGAAATTGTCAACCACTCCTATGAGAGTTTTGAATTCCAAGGACTTACGGAGGTGCGTTACCTACGGAAAATATTTACATGTCGTTAATATACTATGTACATGTAGCTGAGAAATCTCATGTACTTGAGAAATGCTTCATGCGGCGGTTTACCAGTATGTAGAAGCTAGTCAATAAAGTTAACTTTTCTCTATTATTCCCTTGATAAAATGCAATTTCCTCGGAATTGGTAATTAAACGTGAGTTGATATGACGATATTCGCCCTCGAGCCGTTGTTCTTTTACAGTCATGGGACCAATAGGCTTACGGAAATGCGTTAGTAGGGCACCAGCAAAGACAAGGTACGAAAGCATAAATACTGGTGTCTGTAATACAGGAGGTACGTTAGACAATACGGATAGACATACAAGAATAAAAAGTGTAATTAGGTTTGTTTCACGCACCTGACCACCGAGATTCGCTGTGAGCCTGTAAACGTAGATAACGATATCTAGCAAAGGTTTCGCAACGTTGCTGTAGAGATCCGTACAACTGTCGCAAAATTTATCGACGTCGGTGGTTAAAAGCTGATCTGGATTCGCTATTCGGCTGTCTAAATTGCTCATCTTGTAGTACGTAAAACCCCTGCAACAGTTTAGAATATTAAATGCAGTTCGATTTGTCTCTAAGTAAAATGTAATACATAATACACATCACTAGATTGCGAATCTTTATGCATTTATAGGAAATTTGAACGTGCAAGAACCTTTAAAATGCAAACTTAATGCAAGAATATAAAAAAGATTGAAAGTAAAGTTGACGTAACAACATTTGCAGAATAAAATAAATTCCTATATAAGTTCAATTCTTGTAGGCACGTTCGCGAAGATTTTATTTTGCATAAAGATCCGCAGTCTACACGTCACTTTATACATATAATGAATGAAACTTACTTAAGATACTGATCCAGTAATTCTCGAGTGATATTTGTACGCAACCTCAACTTCATTTCGTATATACCATATTTCAGTACGTTGTTCACAATAGATATCTAAATAAATATAATCATGGAAGATCATATCAATAATTTCTTCCAATTGGTAAGAAAATATAGCTGCGTGGCAGCCTGAACGAAAAAATTTTATTAGCAGCTTATGAAAGCAACTGTAGCCTGATTTTTCATCAAAGACATCCACTTACCACAGGCAACGCAGCCATAAACTTAATCAAACGCTTTTTAAATAACGGCGTATCCATATTAACGATCGAGCTGCAATGAAAATATCACAGGTAACGTTTCGTCGAGGCAATTGCAATTTTACAAGAGTATTACAATAATCCAAGAATATTACATACGATTCTATCAAAGTACTTATATTTATCATCCAAAGATCACAGAGAGATCTTGCCACCAGCGATACAGCGACGAGAACAACGAATCCAAATTCAGCGGATATGATAGAAGGTATGCCAATTCCGAGCAGTTGACGCAGTTGTTTGAAGAACATCTTGTTAACGTAAGCCTTTGGAGTTTTCGGCTTTTGCTAATTATTAAGAGTCACACAGTTAGCGATTATGATTATTACATATGATACTATGATTATATATATTATACTATGATTATTCATTCGAGGAAAGCTATTTGTTCGTACCTCTTTGATAACATACTGAATGTCATGGACGAGCCAGGCGTCCCTAGAACAAATAGACAAATTAGTATACGATATTGTAATTCCCTAAGGATTGTGTACATACCATGCAAAAGTCTTAGGCCACCCGTTGTTGGTGATAATAAAAATAATATAGATTCAAATGAGAGTTTAATATTCAGTAATCCTTTTACCTTCTTAATTAGAGTGTTAATAACTGGGAATGTCCATCTACATTTTTGGACTTATTTTTGACACGAGATACATCCAAATGGTCTCAGATAAGGTTTCCCAATGTTCGATAATATTTAAATCAGACTGAACTTCTAACTTTTAACATTCTGCTCACTTTGAAATAATTTCTCACGGTTCTGTTATATATACATGTAGCATGTTAGTGTATATACAAAAATTGCTTCGACATTCTCCTATTGAAATGATCTCTTGATTCTGAAACACTGTGTTCTTCCCATAGAGAGATAAATATTCCATATTATACGCAGTGAGAATTGATATATAGTTAAATCTATATAACATGCAAAAGTATAAGTCTGCTAATGTACAACAGAATCTTTAAACAAATATTTAAAAAATTGTTTCGACATCCACCTATCGAAATGTCTTCATTCCTGTCTTCATTTTAAAATATTGTTCTTCGCACAGAGAGATAAATACTCCATACTGTACCCTGTTATTCTATTAGAAAAAGAATATAATTGAATATAATCGAATGATATTGATAAACATAGATTGTAAGGTAAACTTGGTGGCCTAAAGCTTTTGAGCAGTGCTGTGTACGCGTGATTTACCTGTTCTTGGCGACCTGCTTTTTGCCCCTTCTTTTCAGGATCCATATCAACGCGGACAGTGCACAGACACCAGCTAACGTACGCCTCGTCGCGAATTTACTGATTGCTGGCGCCATTCCTGCGAATGACCAAGGGACCGACTAAAAATTCACCGTCTTCCGCGACGGCCTCGATACTTCTGCGTCCACTTTGGAGCCTCGAAGGTGAACAGGTGACGGAACGAGAACCTTTCGTAAATCAACTATACCGACTCACAGTGACGTATGGAAAACACTGTTGTACGCAACCGTCCGCGTCGGTCTGTGTACTCCGATCAACTACGATTGCCTTTGAGTCCGTGGACCTCACCGACACGCACCACGCGCGTCGGTGTGAGTGCGCCCGTTCCATTAGGCGATACCAGGGCCGGCCCTGCGTTTTAAAAGGCCCCGCGGTCTACGAAAATTACTGAATCAAAAGGCACCGATTTCGATTAACTTTTTACAGACTGATGGTACCATCAACAAATGGAAGCAATTTTTGCTTGTGAGATGCAAGCCATTTTTTTTAGTAGCGATGATTAAAGGAGTGACAAAAATCATCAAAGTGTTATTATTTAATATTCATCTTATAAAAAATATATAGCATTTGTAGATAATTCCTTGTTGTAAAATTTCAGTGTAGGATTTGAATGTGAATTCCCAGTCGGCCCTGGGCGATACGGCAAATTTCTTGTAACTCGTTGGTCATTTACGCAACCGGTATATCAGGCGTTTACTTCGTCGTTTCTTATGCGTACTTTAACTTTGTTTATATATGTAGCATTTTCTCGCGATTTTTATGGATTTTTCCCTGTACGTGTGCACAAATGCACGCGTTGCTACAAATTACCGATCGAAGTAAGAAAAGCTGATCTGTATGACGTAATCTGAGATTACTAATCAAAGATTTATTTCGAACGTTTACGAGGTGGTATAAGATTATATCTCGATGGAATTGGATAAACTGTGAGATATGATATGCGATTGAAAGACTTTTGGGACTGTGTGATATAAAATATGGATTGAATTCCTGATAATGATATATATATATAGGTTGTTTAAAAAATGGAGGTCGCTCCACCGAGGTACTCGCGCTCTGATTGGTTGAGGTATTTTGTTAATATCTCCTTAACGAAGCCTCACACAACATTTTCGCTAAGGGAAAAGTTGTTTCAAACCACCCCCCGAACCATCCTTTTCAGGGACCACCATTTTTGGAACACCCTGTATATATATGTACATTTTGTGTATATGTGTATATATATATATAAATTTGTGTATATATATATATATATATACACATGTGTGGTTCTGTGTAGGTAATGAAAATACGAATTCGTGACCGTCTAAGTTCTCAACCCCGAGGGCACAGAAAACTTTTGTAACCTGGAATGCATTATCTACTACTATCTATTCCAGACAGTCATTATATCGCGTGTCATTGTATCGATACGACTCGAGACAAGGCGTAATTATTTAAAATAAAGAAAAAATGTAGAGTAAAGTATTAAATGAATCATTGATGGGTTACGCTTGACTCTGCGTGCACTCTTATCATTTTTTTTCTGCTTAATCATCTCATGTTTGTTTAATTTGTATACTTCGCGCCCGGACGCTTCCGTTTCGGTACATTGTCTTATGAATACTGTCCGAGCTCGCATAAAATTACTACGAATAGAATATATGGAATTATTTCTCGCTCCATGGGAATAACGCGATATTTCGAAATGAATACGTCATTTCTATATGATTTAAAACGAAAAACAAGACAGGACATTAGAAAAACAAAATGTTTTTTTTCTACACTTCTTTTGTTTTTTTTTTTTATTGTTTTAAGTAACTATAGAATTTTGATAAATCAGCAAAAAAAAGTCCAGTAAAAGAAATAGCAATTATTTATCCCTGTAACATATGCATAATAATTTATTTAGTACTGTCAGTAACTTCAAATTAAAAATAATAAACAAAAACAACAAGAATCAAATGCGTTTGAAAATTTTTTTTTTGCCATCTCTAATTATTGAAAAATTATAAAATTAACACCAGTAGATCCAGAAAAGCGTAAATTTTAATACAAGAAATTTGTTAAAAATGGATTTCCTTTTTTGAAAAAATGTGCACCCCTTGAACAAGTAATAGGATGAAGATCAGTTTTATATTTATTTAAACTTACTTTTGCATATTATTATTTTAGATTTAACTATACATCAATTCTCACAGTGTGTAGTATGGAATACTTATCTCTCTGTGGGAAGAACACAATACTTTAGAATGAAAACATCATTTCGATAGCAGAATATCGAAACAATTTTGTTAATATTTCTTTAAAGATTCATTTGTACGTTAGCAGATTCATACTTTCACATTTTATTTTAAATTCCATACACTATTTAGCCTTATTTTTCCTATTAGTATGAAGGTATGTTCTGCTTATCTCTTTCTTGGCCACTCTGATAAGACTCGCCGAGAACCGATTAAATCAGGGATTGTGAATAGGTTTCAGATATGCCAAAATAAAATAAAGCTGGCTTTTTCCATGCACCAGCACCTTTATTGATACATACACTGATATATCTTTGTATTTATCCACTATGATGTTAATTACATAACCGTACAGATTCTTTTGTACACCACTGTAAAATTGCAATTAACGGTGCAATACATTATGACATTATGAATAAACTGGCTGAGTATATTACTGATTAAGTCTGGGTTAATGTTTGTATTTCAAACTCTTTTTTGAAATCTTTTGAACTGTTTGAAAAATAGTAATTGGAATTAATGATACAACACGTTACATCATAAATCAACTGGCTGTGTACTTTACAGATTAGCCTGTAAATCTTATTACCAATGACTGCAGCACGTACAAATATTAATATTTAAATGGCCTGAGTCTGATTAACATGATACCATTAATCTGTAAATAAAACAAGTTATGACTATCCTTGTATTAGTTTTCTTATTTCAGAAGAAAATAAATGTAAATATAGTCAGTGGTAGAGACCTTGCGAAGTCGGAAATCAATCTTCACATCTGACACTCTTTTTTAGACAAAGATAGAGCTAGAGGAGGATACACATCAATACAATATATAATCGATTACTATAAAACTTCTTTGTTTCTCGTTTTTCCAAATACTCGTAACAGAACATATTATAAAATAATAACTGCTGTTCCGGTTTACGACCTCACAAGATCCGTACCAGCGATTATACAGTACTTACCATCAAATTAAAATCATTTATTGGTTTTTACGACAGTTTTTTATCTCTGTACCAATTTTACGACATAATCGCATGCATTTGCGCTCGATGCACGTAGTTACGTGTACCAAGAAAAATACATCGCTTATATAAAATTAAAATATATATAATGTAGGAGATTCGAAGCCACGATTCTCGCTTGACTCCTTATTTTTAGTAGAGTTTAGTAGAGTACTACATATATACACAGTAAACATAAACATAAATAAAAATTGAGACTGGTATTCGTGTGTTGTATTTAAAAAGAAAATATTTATCAAACTCTGGTGTAACAAGAGAAAAGAAGTTGGCATAATCTAGAATTATGGACCACTGGACCTTTGATTAGATAACTCGAGTTTTTGTTTTGGAAGATTCGCTGGTGTTTACAATTATTTTCTTATCTTTTTTTCAAAAATGCATTACTGTGCTTGTACTTTACGATGCAAGAATGTTTATCTCGAATTTACACAGCCGGTGTGAGAAGTATTCGTACAGCAAGTTAAAATAAAACTAATAAGTAGACTGCGGATCTTTATGCATAATTTATTTTATTCTGTAAATATTATAATTGAACTTTGCTTTTAATCTTTTTTATATTCTTGCATATTGTTTGCATCGTGTAGGTTTGCGCATTCAAATTTCCTATAATTGCATAAAGATCCACAGGCTACTAATAAGGAAAGAAATAAGAGGATAACATTAAAAGTAATAAACTTTAATTTACGCTAAATCTGCTCTAAAAATTCTAGGAATAGTAGAAATGTTGGTTAATTATTTCTTCCCCTGAAACTTGTTAATAAAATAAATATATGAAGTTTTATTTTGAATTCTTGTACGGATACCTATTACGCTGAATGTGCTTCTTAAAACTACTTCTTAAAACATAAGTTACCAAGCAAAAGTCCAGTACCATGGTAATTCTATACGTGTTACCAATAGATGAACAATCAAAAGTTTCAGAATGTACTCTCATCTTCAACAGTCGATCAAAGTATCTGTTCCTATTGCGAGGATGAGCATCAGCTGGATATCTTCTGAAAGTAAAAACACAGATAAATGAACCATTTTTAAACGAGTAACAACTGAGAAACATCAGATAATATTTACATACATTACATTTAATGATTCTGCCGTTATTCCAGCGCGTCTGGTCTGTTATTTTCACGTTTCCAACCACGTTTCTTTCACTGGATATCGTTCGTTAGTTGCAACAAGTTGCTAAACATCGGTCCTCTCGAATATATAGACTGCAGTTCATTCAACTAAGCTGTTAGACAGAATCAGACGTAGTTAATGTTCGTTCAGCGAATTAGCACTTGAAATATGATCATGTATAGGGAAGAGAGAAGATGGGTTTTTTTGTATAACTTTATAGCATCTTCGATGGCTTATGTTACAGCATTCTCTATGTCATCGGTTACTTTTAACGACTTGCTAATTGAATCTGTAAATGTGCACGTTACAAGAATTTTCGTTCAAAGATGTTTCATTATTCAAATGCAGAAGAAGTGAATCTACCTTTAAATTGGTTTTATCGCTTTAACTTAATGAATTTTTTTTGAGGAAGGAATGACTCGATGAAAATAGTAATAAGCAGATGAACGAGCAGTAAATGATTGCGAAGGATAATTAACCTTCTATAAGTAATATAGAAGTAATATATATGGATGCAATTGCAGTTTTGTAATTATTTAATATGTTCAGTCGCAGAGTAGTACTCTTGAAAATTTCATGAATTTCATTTAATAGTTACTTCCTTTTAATATTTACTTTGGTGCTTGGCTTTCAGAATATATATTTTTATTTGTTCAGTGAAAAACACAAGCAAGATCAATGCGTTAAGTGTAAGCTCATAAATGTTATCGAATCTAAGTAACACAATTTCTGTGTAAAAATGTACACAAATGTAATGTTGCGACTATAGAGAATCTAGCCAAATGTTATTTTGTGTTCATTTTCAGATAACATGAAAAATCTGTCATATTTATAACTCTTCATTATTGTAACGCAAAACTATTAGATACTTTGCTGGGATCAGATAACACATTCAACTTTGGTTGAGCTTACATTTAATGGTGTAAATAAAAGAAGACATTAATCAAATTTCTAACTATGTATCTCAACAATGTTTCACACTAATAATCCTGACCCAGATAAATTTGGGTTATAGAAAGTTAACCGTAGATATAAATCGTGTATTAAATTATGGAGAGTGAATTGATGAGGCAACATAGATTTTTCTCCATTTGGCCATCGTGAAAGTAGAATGAGTGGCTGAGAATTGGGCAATGGAATGTGAATTAATAGTAGGATTATGGAAAAGTGGGAAGCTTCGTGTCGAGTGACCTTGCCGTGAATATGTTTGAATATCGATGACGCAAAACCCATATTATATAAGTAATTTCATTTCGTAATCACCTGTTTAGAAGTTCAGCGGACGCTTCCATGCCTCTCGTCTACTTCCAGTCATCATCCTCATCCTCATCCTCATCCTCATCATCACCACCATCATCATATTCAATCTCATCCTCAACCTCATCCTCAACATCCTCATATATCATATAATCATCTCTATCACTGCCACCACCACCACCATCATCATCATCATCATCATCATCATCATCATCATCATCATCATAAGCATCATATACCACCTTCATTCATCGAATGGACGGTACGGTAATATCTGTATTGTGTAAACTCACAAATATGCTTCCACTCGGTGTGATTCAGTCCCATGGAACCACTCACACATCCCCCCATTCCCCTCCGAGTAGCAAAGTGTGGGATTCATTAATTATATCGTCGACTGTACCTTGAATTCTTAATTCCTAGTTTTATGGGGGACCAGGAAACATGAACCCATCGATGCTACTCAACGTTGCATTTTCTGCTATGCTTTTCAAGATTTCCTCAGGGTAATCGGTTGAAATGTTCTTTTTAAGTTCAAGACTGAGATGGAAGAATACTCCAACACAAGGATTTTACACTTGGACGTGTCTTGAATATAATATGGAAACCTCTAGGAAAGCTTACAGTAGAAAGGAGGTCCACAAGGACTAAAACTGGGGTTCTTTGGATTACCAGTCGATGCTTCAACTGACTGGACCATCCCCACATCCTGATATCACTATAACTTCTACAGTATTTTTACAGAGTCTCAGAGTCCTATTTCTTCTACATGTGTAAAAGTAATTGAAATTTCTACAAAGTTAAAACTTTGAAGACTACCGAATATTAAATAACTTGACTTGTGCGATGGAAATAAATAGTCCCTATTTTATCAAGTAAATAGATACTTGTTAATTTACATTATTTAACCCTAGTTTTGTATAGCAGTTCTGTAATGATAGAATGCTGTAGTAATTTACTGTATTTACTGCATCAATTAGTGTCAAGTTACTTGAAATCTTGAAAACTGCAAGCAAAATGGCAACATTGAATAGCGAATGGGTCTTTGGTTCTTGAAATGTTCATTGGTATCAATGTCATCCAAGCAGTCCCAGTTTTCTGAATCATCCAGTAACGGATAATAGCACGTGTTAGCATTTAAATGCGGCAAGTATCAGGTCAGGTAGACTTTAGATTGTGTGAGAAGTAAATAATAGTCCTTTGCCTCGTAAAACAAATTTGATTGAATATTGTTCACTTTACGTGAAGAACGTATCCAGCGAACAAGAAAATAAGTACACAAAGTAGGAGTACATGAAATGTTTCAACCAATATCGCCTGTTACTTTCCAATAGAAATACTTTTCATACAAATTGCAATAATTATCTCCAAGGTTTCCAACGATTAGATAGTTTGAAATATGGAGAATAAATACCTCGGACCACCTTTAGACCATATTTGTAAGATCTTGATGGTACAGAATTTGAAAATACCTTGGACCGATAAACCTTACAAATACAATACTTACAATACTTAACAAATCTTACAATCTGTAAAGCTTTTGAAGATCGATATTGGTCGAATATGTAGGTAAATAACGAACGGTCCAATGAAGGAGTTCAAAGAGTGTAAATAAACTATTGCCAGTGTATCAGTTTTTAATCATTCTGTAATGAACTTATGTAATAAGAATCAATCTCTACCACCTATCAAAATAACATTCTCACATGACAGAACTTGATGTTTATCGGTCGCGATCACTCGGTATCTCTTTTGAAACAGAATCATCGTTATAATTTACAACTGTCTACAAACCAAACTCGTAACGTTTCACGAACGACATTAATGCTCCTTACGTATATTTACACATCATCGTGGATCCTTTTCAAATCGTATCGCAAAGGCATCTTTTGAGCAACAGGTTATTCCTAACCGATTCCTAGCTATCATTCGGTGGAGAATATTTTCGTCGAGAAGTTTTACGAGATGAGGCTCGATTCCATATAAACGATCGTATAAAATGAACCCACTGGACATCTACGGGGAGGCTAACGACGTTAGTGTTAAATGGTCGCGAACGATTTGAAATAGATCAGCCGGCTATAATAATGAGCTAGAAACGGTTCTAATGTCTGTTAAAAGTTGTCTTAAACTACAGTCTTTGTATATCGGTTATCATTTACAGCAGGACGTCAATAAATAAACTCGACGCACTTTCCCATCAATGTTCTCTTTACATTATGTATAAACATTCTGGATCGATAAACGTATACACATATGCATATATGCATGTACCCTATATATATATACATATATACATGCATGCATACATGCATCCATACACGTGCATGCATATATGTTTATGCGTACAGTGTAATATATATCAGGCATTCAATAAACGACTGTGTGTCCCATCCATAAAATATTATTTTTCGCAATTAATTACCGCTCGACCTCACAATTGTTATATTCACTCATATCAACACGTATGTTTCGTTTTTTTTTTTTTTTATCTCTTTTACATCAGGATACGTAATTGCATGTTCTTAGAACATCAATAATCACTTCTCGATTGAACTTTCATGCCTGTAGTTCTGAGACGACCATTAACAAATACATTCAACCGCCATACACACACACATAGACAGAGACAGAGAGACAGAGAGACAGAGAGACAGACAGACAGACAGACAGACAGACAGAGAGAGAGAGAGAGAGAGAGAGAGAGAGAGAGAGAGAGAGAGAGAAAGAGAGGCGTGATAAAACAATCCAATCTACGTAGATTACAATATTATGATTTCCCTAATCCGACGTAAGAAATATTACACTCCCGCTGGATGTTTCTAAAATATTTGACGTCAAACCGTTGCACCGCGCGTCCCGCTAATTGCGAGGCGTCTCGGTGATCAAAATTACACGCATACAGCCACGCACGCACACACGTTACTTTCACATACCTCTCCTCGTGCTCGCAATCAGAAGCGCACGCGGTCGCAGAGTTTGATCAAACATTTTAAGTACACGTCGAACAGCTTTTCACGCTAGCGATAATAACTGGTAAAATTGTATGCACGCAGGAAATCTAATCCGTGTGACTTTTTTTACTATAATGTAACGCGCGTGTACGACAGCACATACCGTATCCTTCCTTAAGAATTCATTTATAATTTTGTCTCGTCCGAGACAGTCGACCTAGAATTATTTCAACGCATGGCTAACGCTGTATTTTATTGAGTTATACGGTTACTCTGTACTTCCTCTCGACTATACGGTAGTTATTGACTACAATCGTGCATCATGAATGAAGTGGTTCGACTGAACCGTGGATTTCACGCAGTACAATGTGTATTCTATCTTCTCTATAACTTTCGCAGATTTTTCTCGTATAATTAACTTGTATAATTAACGGTTGTTACGAGTGCGTAAAATCCGCAGTTCGACAATGGGTCGTTGGAAAATAAATACTCGGCTCTCGACAGGGGTACACGTCGCTAAAAACTTGTGAAAACACACTTTCAGATTCTCCGAGCACTCGGATAGAAATGAAACAATCAAAGTCGATTTGAAATGCCACCTTTCACACGCAACCAGTTCGATTCTTTCGACGCATCATCCATCGTACCAAATAGTAACACATAGTTCTCACAGAAATCGCGTGCACGCGGCTAGTAACATATTCTTTTTAATTTTTATATTTATATTAAAATTCACTACGATTAATGGCATTTTAAATCTCGGGTAGCTGCGATCGATCTGCGCGCGATTGCGACAATTTTCCATCCATTCAATGTTAAAATAAAGATATAAAGATACGTTTAAACGAGATTCGTTTCGCTTGTAATCGTTGCAAGGTACGAGATTACGAGACGTTATTACAGGAGAAAATAAGGATACAAGCGAAGCGTAGAAAGCAATTTTATCCGGAGAGGTAAATGCACGCTGAAACGAAACCTGGACTTTCGAAAATCCAGGCTCGTTGCCTTCTCGTGGAAACTAACCAAACGTTCAAAGTGTCTGCTTTCGTTAAGTTAGAATAATGTTTATTCTACGTAGACTCAAACCCTGGTTAATTAAATATACGTGTATATATAAATATATATATATATATATATTATGCAATCGATTGAGTTAATTGAAAAGAATCAAAGTTCGAGGTCAGTCTCTCCTATCTCGTTTCTAACTGTTTCATCAGACAGATCACAGTTTGTAAACGTTCCAAACGGTCTAGAATAGTTATCGACTGGATCGAAACGTGTACAACCGATCACAACGCAAAATTAACAAGTTTCTGGGGCGATTTTCCAACGTGACTCGAATCCAGATCGACGCGACATCGTGAAAGCTCTCAAATTCGAAATACTCTATAAAACGTGTACTCGCTAAACCCTCGGTTAATTCTCAATTACACATTAAACACACGAAAGTTTAAATTAAACATAAGCATATATACGTATTTCGCTACAATAAATCTCGTTCTTCTCCTACAACACATTCACAATCATCATCATCATCATCCTCCATTATATATATGTATTATATATATATATATGTATATATCATCATTCTCATCATTCCGATACAGTAATTTATCTCTGAGTTGGTTAGACCGCACGCTTGAAATGAGATCATACAATTAGTATGCACGTTCAGATGATCGAAGCTATCCGCCCTTCAACACGCACTGTCCCGTTCTTTGTGAAAAAGGAATTATGCTAATTGCTTTTTTTTTTGCTTTTGTTGAGGGGAGAAACCACGTTGGGAGTCCAAGTATTGAGCGTTCCCTGAAATATTGTCTTATATAGAAAAGAATGTTTCTGTAACTTTGAGAATATTTTAGCTGTGTTTCAACATACATTCCACAATTTTTCCAGGTGATTTCACAAGGAAATCTTTGAGATATCGCGTTTTCGTTTCAAATATATCCTCAATTTGTGGGAATGACAACCGAGAAATTAATTTATAAGTTGTTTTCAGACTTGATATACCGTACATCTCAAATATTATATGTATACAGAAGGTTTCTTAATATGAAGACTTTAATCTCCAAAAAGTGTCCACATATTAAGAAACATGTTATATATACAGTGAACGTAAGAAGTATTCGTACAGCAACCCATTCAAAGCGAATGGCTCCTGTACAAATACTTATTACACTGTAATAATACTGTACGGATACTTCTTACACTGTAATAATACTGTACAAATACTTCTTACACTGCAATAAGTATTCGTACAGGATTATTGCAGTGTAATAAGTACTCGTACAGGAACCATTTGTTTTCCATGGATTGCTGTACGAATACTTTTTACACTGACTGTATTACATGTATCAAGGTGGTCCGTATTTTAATAATTTGTGAAATCAGTGTTAGCCCCCTAAATACCTTGCAAATACAACAAAATTCCTGCAAAAATTTAAGCTCTCTAACATTGACACGTTAAAATTGGGAGCTCAAATTTGCCAAGAATATTTGCTTGTGTATCTGCAAGGTATTCAGGGCCACCCTAATATATATCTACACGTATCATTCTTATAATTCTGAAAGAAGCTGCACGAGAAACAATGAAAATGAATATTTCATCTTTGGACACCTCTACGCATACTTAGAAAATGTGTTAATAATGTAAAAAAACATGTCTCGAAAGACCTGTGTGAATACTCATTGGAAGATTACAACTTCGAAAAGAATGTTATAGATTGATTTATATTGATCCAGGCTAACATTAACCTCTATTCTAGTAAAGTATTCTATACTTGGCGTAATGAAGGCTTTATCTGTTTTCTCAAATTGAGCACTGCGAGTAGATGCCCAACGACAGGATAGAATGGGTAGGACAGGGTAGACTGCAGACTTTATCCATTTATGATGAAACTTATATAACAAACACATGCTGAACGTAGTAAAAAGGTACATAATTATCTTGCACTCATGCAATATGTATATTTTATGTTTTCTATTTGTATGAACATAAATGCATCAAAGTCCGCAGTCTACTCATTATCATCCTAATTATACATGTATTACTATTCAGTCAGTGTAAGAAGTATTCATGCAGCAATCAATTTAAAACAAATACGAATACTTATTACAGTGTAATAA